AAGGCCCTGTCCCTGCCCTCCCCTCCGGCGGCGAGCCCCCGGGTCAGCCCGGAGGCCGTGGAGGCCACCGCCAGCCCATCGGCGCCAAACTCCACCCCGGGTCACGATCGGCAAGCCGCTCACTGGCGACACCACAAAGCAGCCTATCTGGAGACCTCCTTCGAGGGCAGTCCGCCGATGCAGAGAGTTAACGGTCAGGTGCCTCCACCCGGTGCCGCCCCCAGCTCTGCGCCCGAGAGACCGACGGCGCACCAACAGCTGCAGCTGGGCGAGCGGTCCACCCCCCAGCGCGCCGCCCCTCAGCGCGCAGCCCCCGAGCGCCAGTCCCTGTGCGTCCGCAAGCCGCGGCCCGCCAGTTTCATGCGCTCGGAGAGTGTCAAGGAGAGCGCTACGGAGGCGCCGCCGCGGTACGTGGCGAACGGCGCCAACGGCTCGAGCCGCCCGGGCAACGAGCGCTACCCGCTGCGGGGCGCGCGCGCGGCCAAGAAGCTGGCCGTCAACGGAGAGGTGGGTGCTCCACGTGCCCGCGCCCTACTGGCCGTACTGCTGTGCAGCTCCTGACGTTGGACATTATCCCTGTTCCAGGCGAACGGCAGCAACGGCTGGCTCCAGCCCGCCGTGGCGCAGCTCCGCAGGGCGCCCGCCTCCGTGGAGCTGCTCCCCACCGCCTGCAACTCGCCGACCACCACGGCCATCAGCACGTCCAGCCCCGTCAACGCCGCCTCGCCGCAGCACTCCAGCATCAACAGCAGGTGAGTCCAAGTTATGATCTGCATGCCCCTGTGTTCTGTACCCTCGGACGCTCGGATCAAGCCGCGTCGAGCCAGCGGGCGCCGGTAGGTAGGCAGCCAAATCAACAGGCCCCTGCCAGTCGCTCTATCGCCCTGCGGTGCGACGCGCTCCGCCGGCGCCCGACGGCTAGGCAACCCATTCGGCGCCTCTCGCCGCCGCGACCGGTGGGCCGCCCGTCGTGCCGGGCGTACGTTGGGCTGCCTACCCCTCCTTCGCAAGGCGCTCCCACCGGGCCGGACAGGCTCTTCTAACCTCCCCGGGAGAAATGGTCGTCAGAACAAAGAATTAATGTTGTCCAATCGCCTTCATTGGCGACGGCCAGAAGCCCACTTCCCGAGGTTCGCGAGTGAGACACGCGGCGCCGCGTCCTCGGGTCGCCCAGGTGGCAGCTGCAGGTGCACCGAGGAGCGCGCCACACCTGAGTGACTGACTGTGTTTGTGGAGCGCCTCGCATGGCACGCGGCGCGGCGGCGGCGACGTCGCATCGCAGCTGCTTTGAACCCTCCGCCAGCTAGACTCACCTTGCCCCACTCACTCCCCCCCCCTTCCACTCCTCCCTTCCTTCGTCTTCCCCGAGGCACTTACAGTCGTGATCATGGGGGGCGGCACGGTGCGAAATGCGAGCGCTCATCTCATAGTGCCTCGAAGGAGTATGACGGTGAGGTGAAGAGGACGGCGTTAGACAGGGGGTGGTGGTCGCTAGCGGAACATAGTTTGATCGATTCCTTTCCCCGTTCTCGACACCCGTACGCCGGCGCCAGCACAGGATGTGGGCGGACTCGGGCGGCCTTCCTTCCGCCCGGCCACCAGCACACTGTATGTCCCCGTCAAGCAATCCAGTGCCGTTTGTCTGTCCGACGGCGAGTCGCAGGACTCAAGTGGATCGCGACAGTCCCCCCCCCCCTCTCATTCTCTCATGAGCGAGTGGGCCTGGTCGCCGTGCCGTGGGGGCAGCAGCCGAGGTGCGGGCCCCCTGCTCCGTCTCAAACAATGGCCCATCAGGCGGGCACCATGAGCGCGGGCCTCGGGCCTCTTGACGGCGACGGCGTTCTCCGTGACGAAGGAGATGGCCGAGCGCGCGGTGTAAGTGTCGACGCGGTGCCCCCGGACAGGCGAGCACGACGATGGACACCGCGAGCGGCAGGAGGTGGCGTCTGGCTACAGCCCCCGCTGGCGCCGTACTGTGCGTGCGTGCGTGGACCGCGGACCAGTCGCCAGGAGGCGGGCAGCACGGCCTGAGGCCGCTCTCCTTTTCCGCAGCCGCTGCTGCCTTCAATAGAAAAGTTTTCACACCTCGCCACACTACGCCGTGCCACGCCGCGCCGCGCCACGCCACGCCGCGACGCTCCTCGACGCGTCTCGTCGCCCTTTTTGTTGGAAAGAAAGGCGACGCGGCGGCGGCGACGGTCCGCGGGTGTGGCGGGGCGGGGAGCGCGGAGGCGAAAACATGTGCGGTCCGGGCCGGGCCGGGGACAAGGTCACATTGCTTTGTGCCCCGGACTGTGAACTTCCCACCTGGTGCGGCGTGGCGTAGCGTAGCGTAGCGGCGTGTAGCGAGTGCAGGATAATGGCCAGGCATGCACCTTGCACGCACGCACGCACGCTTGCGCGCCTCTGAGCACAGCAGGGCAGGGCTCACCTGCTGGAATCTCCCGGTGCTCCGACCGAGATAATTATATGTGTTTCGTGGGACAGCTCATTGAATCCTCCTGCTGCTGCTTGTGCTGGTGTTGGCGCCGCTGTAGTGCCTCGGCGCGAATAACCCGAGTCGAGTCGCCCGTTGTCGCCCCCATAGAGGTAGGCGACGGGGAGGGTGGCGTCCTCTCCTCATCGGAGCGCTCGCCATACTCTTGGCCCCGAAAATGATTCCGTTTGGCTCATCTCGCATTCGGCACCGTTGTTGGCCGGCTCGCTCGGCTGCAGCATACCAGCCGCCGCAGCAGCCGCAGCAGCCGCAAGCGGCTTTGACTTGGAGATGAGAGGCACCACCGCGGGCTGCGGCGGCGGCGGCCCAGACTGCCGCGCTTCAAGTGGGCCGAGTAACGTTCCCCGCATTTGGCGGTGGTAATGATAATTTTGTCGCCCTCGCCGCTAAACGGCCGCCGCCCGTCCCGCCGTCGTCGGCTCGGCTGGCTGCAGTCATGCGGTCGGCTCCGCCCGGTCGGTCTGCATGCATACGATCCACTGCACGATCCGTTGCACGATCCGCTGCACGGTCCGCTGCTGCACGGCCCGTCCTGCCGACATGTTCATTCGCACTTGTCTCGCGGTGCGCCGGACGTGTGAGCCCGAGGAAGGCGATGACGGGCGTTGAGGTTCCCGTCGGCGGCGGCGGCCGCTCCGCTAGCGCATGATGACGCCTCCTCGCTCTGGGCATTGTTGGCCAGCTGCTTTTACTGCCGCCCAGCTGCCCGCCGCTGCAGCTGCAGGTGCTCGGACGGGCCGCTTTAACGGACAGGCCGACGGACCCGTAGCGGCGGGGCGCGCCGGCCGTAAACACTTGCCTGAAATAGAGCAGCGGCAGGCAAAGAACTAGGACTGTTCTGGCGGCGGCGGTCCGCACTCGTCTGTTCTGCGCATGAAAAATTTAGCACGACACACTTTTCCAACGGGTGCATACGTTTACCATGGGAGACGGGGCCCGTTCAACTTTATTTACCCCCAGACGGACTCATGAAAAATTCAGATTGCTGCTGGTTGAAGACTATGACAAAAGGACGTTTTTAACTAACTGTGTGAGCCAGCCAGGCGCAAGAGTGTTGCGAAGGGTGTTTCGTTGCCGCGTTGGCGTGTGTGTTAAAAGTCGCGCTCCTCCTCACGCTCCGCTCCCCAGTTCATTTACGTAAGGAAGCGACATTTGATCGGCCTCCAGCTCCGCGGCCCCGGAGAGCCCGGGGGCTCCAGCGGCGGCCACAGCAGACTCCGGGCCCCTGGAGTCCAGCCCAACAGCGTGTAACACACACTGCGGGGCGCACCGCTCCGGTGGAGAGGAGGAGAGCGAGCGAGCGAGCGAGAGAGAGAGAGAGAGAGAGAGAGAGAGAGAGAGGGAGAGAGAGAGAGAGAGAGAGAGAGAGTGCGCACAGAGACTGTGGGGGCAGTGGGTGGGCCTAACGCAACTCGCAACTCTGTTGTATTGCGATAATTTATCGCGCCGTATGATTCACGTTCACATTCGCATATCCGGTGACAAGGGATTCAGCCTGTTGTGTTGCGTCACTTCGCTTACTCGCCCCGCCCCGCGCTCGCGTGTGTGTGTGTGTGTGTATCCTGCGCGTTGTGTGGAGGAGTATCTTCTTTGCGAAATGGGGATAATAAGGATTATTAGGAACCAGTTTGCAACATTTCTAAAAAATTTGAAATGAGTGCAGGAAACGCGACGCCGCCGTACCGCGCACCGCACCCCGCGGCGCGCTGTCTGCCGCCCAGGCCTGGCGCGCGCAACAGATACCCTGATAACAGTTCCACTCTCCTTTCCACTTCCTCGTCCAGGTGTATGTGTGTGTACAGGAGCTGCCCCTTTAACCTTGAGGAAGTCTTTAAAAAAGAAGAAGAAAAACACCACAATAAAAACAGCTTTTAGTTTTGCTAATTTCGCAGATTTTACGGGAGGATGACGCTTTTGCTCGACCCGCGCGATACCCCACACTGCGCCGCGGGCCCGCACGCCATTTCCCAGTCTGCGGCGTCAGCGTCTGCCGACGGGCCGCGTTCGTTTCTGGCTTTATCCCTCGTGCTCTTTCTCTGTCTTTCGCTTCCTCCTGTGTCATTAGTGAGTGGGGGAGAGAGAGGGAGAGGGAGAG